CTTATACTATCCCTAGATGTCACAATTTCGAACAAAAGAATACAGTGTCACAGGGTTCCAACTTAATTATAGACAGATACGTATATTTTGTAATCATAAAATCACAAATATGTATTTTTACAATCACAATATTTTATATATTTTGTTTTTTAATTATGACTTGTTTAGGACAAATTCAATATTACTCTAAAACATTGAGATTCTGTTCAATCCCTTCACACATTAGCAATATTAAATCCTCCCTATTACTTCAACAATTAAGACTTCTATTGTTCTTTTGAGAGTCTAGCCATTCTGGAGTCCGAAAATGAAAAACTGGTAAAACAGTATAAAACAAGGCTTTACATTTGGCATCACTGGCAGAAAACAGAGCTGAGGAAAAGCTTCTGTTCACACTTAGTGTAAGGCACCTTCCATTCCTGTTCCTGGTAAATTCCACTCCACTTTTCTATTGCAAGTTTCTACATTTGTTTCAGGTCACCTAGTTCTAATCAGGTCGCTTTATGTGTGGTTTATTTTTATTATTACATTCTTTCCTTTTAAGGAAAGAGCTAGAATACATAGTAAAAACTATTAATTTTACTTATGTGATTTGCAGAATTTCTTTGGCCCTGAGTTTGTGAAAATGACGATAGAACCTTTTATATCTTTGGATTTGCCACGGTCTATCCTTGTAAGTAATAAAATCAATTTGTGTCACTCTTAGAAAATAATTTCAGTCATGATTTAAAGAAAAAAAAATTGAAATTCTTATAAAGTTTACTTCAACAGATGCCATTCTTTTTTTTTTCTTTCATTTGTAGACAAAGAAAGGGAAGAATGAGGATAACCGAAGAAAAGTAAACGTGATGCTCCTGAGTGGGCAGAGACTGGAACTGACTTGTGATACCAAAACCATATGTAAAGATGTGTTTGATATGGTTGTGGCCCATATTGGCTTAGTGGAGCATCATTTGTTTGCTTTAGCTACCCTCAAAGGTACCAAGTCGCTTTAAATTCAGGTTACAATATGAAAGCTTGGCAACAGGTTGACTTCCTGTACCTTTTATGCCCAACCTTGTTTTGAGTAGTAGTCAGGTACATGGACATTCAGCGTGCAGAAGTAGGAGTTAGGAACTCCCTTCCTTCTTCTAACTAGGTACATTGTTTTAGTAGCTGTGTCTTTTTGCATCTTCTTCACTTGACCAGGAATATTTTTTTTTTGGCTTTGGCTATATAAAAATAGCTTTTAATTGTTATATTTTGAGTACCATTATATATGTCAGTTGCCTACCTATGAACTCTAGAAGTTAGTATCCTGCTAATATGAATTTGAATATATAGCAGGACACTATTTCTGAATCATCACATCAGCTTTTTTAGTCTACTGTCCTAAAACATACAGTGTATTTTTAAAATATTTTCATTCGATGACTGAAAATATCATTTCACATATTTTCTCAGCATCACATCCACTGAACTCTGTGACTTTCACATCTACAGTGGCCTTAGCACAGCTTCATTGGAAGCCACCCCTGTTGGTGAACTAGAATTTCCATAGCAATAAGAAGCCCTTTGGAGTTGGGCTTAATAAATCTCTTTAAATCATTATATTTATACCTTACTCTTTAATATTTCAGATTCCTGTTTACCTCAGAATTTAACTGAGAAAGCTTAGGCAACAACAAAGTACCATAAATTATAATTGCAGGATCAGATCATCCTGCAACCATACAGATCAGGATAATGTCTTTTTTTGTCACAAGAGAAATATTTCCTTCAATTTAGTTTATTGAATTCTTTTCTTAAAAACTAATAATTCATTTTGTAGAGTCATTCAATAGATATTCATTTAGTGCCTACTGTTGTCCTATCACTTTACTAATTACAATTTTGCAGTTAACAAGTATTACTAATTAAATAAAGGTACTCAATTAATTAGAATTTCTATTTATAATATACCTAATTTCATAAACATTCTCTATAAGTCAAATTTTACTGAATATCATTTAGAGAGAGTAATAGTATGTAAGTGATTACATTAAAAAATAAAAATAAAATGATAGCTATTATTCTTCCTAGGTTTCAGCCAATAGCTCAATAATGATAAGTAATAGCTAATATTTATTGAATGCTTACCATGTGCCATACTTTGCCAAATGTTTTATTATCCATTATGTCATTTGATCCCTACAGCAACCTTATGAGGCAGGAATTACAGGAAATAGCATTATCCTCATTTTACAGATAAGAAAACTGATGTCTAGAGAGGTTAAATTTATTCATTGTTACACAGATAGTAAATGATGTGGCCAGTAGTTGAATCCAGGTCTGCCTGTCTTCAGCTCCCTCATTCTTAAAAGACTGAGCCCTGTTGCCTCCCATCCATATCCAGTGCCTCAAAGCTCCCTGTCATAATCTTCTTTTATTCTCAGGTGAAAGTATTTTGTGCAAGTCTGACCAGAAATAAAAGAAGAAATTGAAAAAAAACATTAAAGTATTTTTATTTTATCTGAACGTTTTCTTATTCTGTTTTAGATAATGAATATTTCTTTGTTGATACTGATTTAAAATTAACCAAAGTGGCCCCAGAAGGATGGAAAGAAGAACCAAAGAAAAAGAACAAAGCCACTGTTAATTTTACTTTGTTTTTTCGAATTAAATTTTTCATGGATGATGTTAGTCTAATACAGTGAGTACACAAGAATTTCTGTTTTTCTCTTTTTGACCCCTGGGCCTTTGACCCTTTAGTTTACTGATACTTAATTATTTGATCCGATCAATGATAATACCTTCTTTATCATAAAAGAAATAATTCCTTCAGCATAGTTTATTAAATTATTGTGGTTTAAAAGCTTCATAATTAACTATCTTGGAAACTAAATTTATCTCTCAATAATAAAAATTACCTCAAGACTGAAGATGAAGCCTAGATGTCTTGTATTTATTTTCCAGACATACTCTGACTTGTCATCAGTATTATCTTCAGCTGCGAAAAGATATTTTGGAGGAGAGGATGCACTGTGATGATGAGACCTCTTTGTTGTTGGCGTCCTTGGCTCTCCAGGCTGAGTATGGAGATTATCAAGCAGAGGTGGGATTGATTTTCCCCCAGAGTCACTTTGGCATTGTTGTTCTTAGCCTCAGCATAGTTAAAGACAACCTGGTTGGGATGTTTGCTGTTTATATCTAGAGATTTTTTGAGGCTAGTTTGGTACTTACTTCACAATGATCAAGTTCCCTATATACATTGCTTGTATACAATCACACAATGTGGGATTTCTTTCTTTCTTTTTTTAATTATCCTATTTCAGAGTTTTGGACTATCTAGCACTTACCCTTCCTTTTCCCAGTTTCTAACTGATAGATACTGGACACGGGCTTACCAGTCAAATCTGAATCAAAGGGGTCTTCTACTTTCCACATGGATTCATGCAGTGATCTGAGAATTTAGCAGAGTTCACTGTGTGGAGAATAGATGTTCAAGGACACATGTTCTGGAATTTAAGTGGAGCTAAGAGGAAGCAAGGGCAGGAGACTATGCCACTCAAGCAGCATCCTCCACAGCATTAACCCTTAACTACCGTGACATTTGGCCCCGCATTGTCAGTCTCTCCCCAAGTTTGCCAGTCAGTTCAGTCACACTACCTCACTGAATAAAAGAGAGAGACTGATGCATTTCCTCTAAAACTCACTTCTCAAAGAGAAGTACAAATAGAGGCATCTTATGTCTTGGGTGAGGCAAGACCTTTTAAGATAGGAGGAAGAGGCCAAACAGAATTGCTTACAAAAACATTCTCCTTTCTAGGTTCATGGCATGTCTTATTTTAGACTGGAGCACTATTTGCCTCCCAGAGTGATGGAGAAACTTGATTTATCCTATATTAAAGAAGAGTTGCCCAAATTGCATAATACCTACGCAGGAGCTTCTGAAAAAGAGACAGAGTTAGAATTTTTAAAGGTAAGCATGCAAAACTACAAATGATAAGCTTTGTATCTTTTTCAAAGTAAGCAAGATGCCAAGAAATGATACTATGCATTATCTCATTTTATTTATTCCAGACTAAATCCATGTTATTTTAATTCTCATTTTGTAAAAGAGGGAACTGAGGCTCAAAGAGGAAATGTAATGTTCCCAAAGTCAGTGGCAGTTATGTGGGGCAGAACTGTGATGTGAACCATTGTCTGTCTGGCTATGGATTCTCTGCTTCATGCTTTTTATGTTCCATCTAAGAAATCTTTGTCTAACCCACAGTGATAAAGATTTTCTAAGTTTTATAGTTTTAGCTCCTATATGTAGGTCTGTGGTTTATTTTGGGTTGATTTTCATATATTGGATGTAATAAGGGTCAAGATTCATTTTCTTGGCATGTGAAATCCAGCAACATTTGTTGAAAAGACTATCCTTTCTATATTTAACTACATTGGTACAAGTTCTGTATCTTTTTGTCACCTTTTAGCAAGGTGTATGGTATTGTTCCAACAGGTCTGCCAAAGACTGACTGAATATGGAGTTCATTTTCACCGGGTGCACCCTGAGAAAAAGTCACAAACTGGAATATTACTAGGAGTCTGTTCTAAAGGTGTCCTTGTGTTTGAGGTTCACAATGGAATTCGCACGTTGGTTCTTCGTTTTCCGTGGAGGGAAACCAAAAAGATTTCTTTTTCGGTAGGTCCAGTTTAACCCCATTTGATTATATTTTAAAATAGGTGTTGTCATTTTCAAATGTAACATATTAATTGACTTTACTTAAGTAAACTTTCAGTCCTACCATTCAGTAGGGCTAATATGTCTTAATACTTTTTCACTCTTCTTCCTTAGCTGTAGGAACTATTACTGAGGTTTATTTGTTTTCAGTTTTGTCAGGAAGTGAGTTTTTTAAAAATAGTATACATTCCTAGCTGGTTATATGCTCAATTAACTTTAGTTAAATTACAACCTAGTTGACTTCTCTGTTAATTCAGACCTTATTCTAAGGTACTAACTTCTCACATGGAGAAACCCCTTTAATGTATTTAAGATAGATAACTATCTTCACCACAGTGAACTTTGTCTTGCTCAATAATAGTTCCTTCACAGCAACTGTATTTGAATCTCAGTGGTTTAGAGATTTACTTGGTTTTATGAACTAACTCCAGAACTTCATGCAGTTTTAAGTTTTAGTGTATACTCCTTATAGATACAAAGCTAGAAAAGTGAATTTTAGAAAATCATGTTTATGCAAGATAATGAGCTATAAAGGCATATTTTGATTCTGAACATAGTTGGAGTATCTGAACATTGAAATTCAATTGGCAAACCCCAGAGGTGAATCAAAAATATATTCAGGTATTTGATATCCTAATGCTATTCAGGAACTACTGGCATCTTTAGTTTATGTCTGAGCTGAAATATGGTCTCACTCAAACAATGTTTACAAAAATATCAATATCAAGGCCCAAACTGATTCTGGATAACCTTCAACCTAGAGATTTTTGAAATCAGCTCTAGACCTAATGGTTAGTTGAATGGTTTCCTCTGAAACCTAGTGGTACCACTAAGATTACCAGATAATATGTTCTCTCAGGAAAGCCAGGACCATCCTCATCTTCTTAAGATTGTCAAGACCAGAAATTTACCTGGATTTAATTTACTAATTAAATTGATTAGTGAATATTGCACCAACCTTGCATCCCCTAAATAAAACCCACTTGATCATGGTGTTGGTGTGTGATCTTTTTAATGTATAGCTGGATCCGTTTGCTAATATTTTGTTCCAGGTTTTAGCATCTATATTCATCAGGGATATTGGCCTATAGTTTTCTTTCTTTGGTTTTGTAATTAGGATAATGCTGGCCTTGTAAAAAGAGCTTGAAAGTCTTCCCTCCTGCTGAGTTTTTTGGAATAGTTTGAGGAGGATGTGTTAGCTCTTTGAATGTTTGGTAAAATACACCTGTGAAGCCAATCGGTACAAGACTTTTGTTTGCTGAGAGGTTGTTTTTTTTTATTACTGCTTCTATTTCATTCGTCGTAATCAGTCTATTCAGATTTCCTGATTCTTTCTGATTTACTTTTGGAAGGTTGTATGTTTCTAGGAATTTGTCCATTTTGCCCAGGTTGTCCAGTTTGTTGGCATAGAGGTGTTCATAGTATTTTCTTATAGTCGTTTGTATTTCTGTGGTGTCGGTTATTACTTCTCCTCTTTCATGTCTGTCTTTATTTATTTGAGTCCTCTCTCTTTTTTTCTTGATGAGTTTGGTTAAAGATTCACCAGTCTAATTTATCTTTTCAAAAGCCAGTTCTTGGTTTCATTGATCTTTTGAATTTTTTTTTTTTAGTCTCTATGTCATTTACTTATGCTCTGATTTTTATGATTTCCTTCCTTCTACAGGAAGGAAACAAAGGCCTTACTCTGGACTTTGTTTGTTGTTCTTTTTCTAGTTCTTCTGTTCTAGTTGTTCTGTAGGTTTAGATTGTTTATTTGAGACTTATCTTGCTTCTTGAGTTGGGCCTGTAGTGCTATGAACTTCCCTCGTAGGACTGCTTTCGCTGTGTCTCATAGATTTGGGGGTGTTGTGTGTTCATTTTAATTTGTTTCAGGTCATTTTTTATTTCTTCCTTGATCTCCTTGTTAACCCACTCATTGTTTAATAACATGCTGTTTAACCTCCATGTATTTTAATGTTTTTCAGTTTGGTTTTTTTGATTCTTAGTTTCATATTGTAGTCAGAGAACATGCTTGATGTGATTTCAGTCATCTTGAATTTGTTAAGATTTATTTTGTGTCCTAACATGTGGTGTGTCTTTAGAATGTTACATGTGCACTTGAAAAGAATGTATATTCTGCTGCTCTGGGATGAAATATTCCGTAAATATCAATTAAATCCGTCTGATCCAGTGTGTTATTTAAGGTCTCCATTGCCTTGTTGATTTTTGTCTGGAAGATCTGTCCATTGATGATAGTGGGGTGTTAAGAATCCTACTATGACTGTATTGCTGTCAATCTCTCCCTTAATGTCCACCAAGATTTTCTTTATATATTTAATTGCTCCTATGTTTACAAGGGTTATAACCTCTTATTGGATCAATTCCTTTAGTATTATGTAGTGATCTTCTTTGTCTCTTGTTATGGCCTTTGTTTTGAAGTCTATTTTGTCAGATATAAGTATTACTACCTCAGTTTTTTGTTTGTTTCCATTTGCATGTAATATTTTTTTCCATCTCTTCGTTTTTAGAATGTGTCTTTTGTTCTGAGGTGGATCTCTTGTAGACAGCATGTATATGGGTCATTTTTCTTTTTTTTTTTTTTAATCTTCACCTGAGGATATGTTTTTATTGATTTTAGAGAGAGAAAAAGGGAGGGAAAGAGAGAAAAATCTATTGGTTGCCTCCATATGTGCCCTGACCAAGGATGAAACCACAGCCTAGGTATGTGCCCTGACTGGGAATCGAACCCTTAACCTTTTGGTGTATGAGACGATGCTCTAACCAACTGAGCCACCAGCCAGGGCCTGGGTCATGTTTTCTTATCCATTCAGCTACCCTATGTCTTTTGATTGGAGCATTTATTCCATTTATATATAAGGTTATTATTGATAGGTACTTATTTATTGCCATTTTATTCTTTATACCTATGTTCCCCTCTCTCTATATTTCTTTTTTTCTTGTCCTTAAAATATGCCCTTTAACATTTCTTGCAATACTGGTTTGATGGTAATGAACTCCTTTAGCTTTTTTTTTTTTTTGACCTGGGAAACTCCTTATTTTGCCTTTAGTCTTAAATGATAGCCTTGCTGCATAGAGTAGTTTTGCTTGTAGGTCCTTGCTTTTCATCACTTTTAATGTTTCATGCTAGTCTCTTCTGGCCTGAAGTGTTTCTGTTGAGAAATCAGCTGATAGCCCTATGGGACCTCCTTTGTAAGTACTAAATGCTTTTCTCTTGCTGCTTTTAAGATTCACTCTTTGTCTTTAATCTTTGGCATTTTAATTATGGTATGTCTTGGTGTGGGCCTCTTTGGGTTCATCTTGATTGGGACTCTCTGCGCTTCCTGTACTTGTGTGACATTTTTCTTCACCAGGTTAAGGAAGTTTTCAGCCATTGTCTCTTCAAACAGGTTCTCTGTCTCTTGCTCACTTTGTTCTTCTGGTACCCCTATGATGCAGATGTTGTTATGCTTGACATTGTCCCAGAGGTCTCTTAGGCTTTCCTCATTAAAAAAAAATTTTTTTTTCTTTTTGATGTTCTGCTTGGGTACTTACTGTTATCCTCTAAATCACTGATTCGATCATCTGCTTCATCTAACCTGCTGTTGATTCCTTCTAGTGTATTCTTCATTTCATGTATTGTAGTCTTCATTTCTGACTGGTTCTTTTTTATGGTTTCTGTGTCCTTTTTAATTCTCACAATTTCTTTGTTTAAGTTCTCACTGAGATCACCCATTCTTCCCCTAAGGTCCCTGAGCATTCTTAAAACCATTGTTTTAAACTCTATATCTGTTATTTTGGTTGCTTCCATTTCATTTGATTTTCTTTCAGGGGATTTCTATTCTTTCTTTTGGGGCACATTTCTTTGTCTCCTCATTTTGTCTCTGTGTATTAGGTAGGTCTGCTATGACTCCCAAACTTGTTATGATGGCTTTATAATGAAGGTGTCTTGTTGGGCTCAGTGGCACAGTCTTCTAGATCTCCTGAACCCTGAGCTCCAGGAATGTTTCTTGTGGATTATGTGCACTCTTCTGTTGTAGTTGAGTCTTTAATGCTATTGGCCGTTTTGTGGCTGAAGTTAACCCTTCAGGCTGATTGATTATATATGAATAACCCTTCATCACCATGTATGGAGTTGCTGTACAGGGGCTGCCCCTGGAGGCAGAGTTGTTCCCAGCAGGGTCTGGTGCCTGCTGGAATCTCCCTTTGGGTATGCTTCTTGTGTGTCTAGTTGGGCTGAGCTCTGGTGTGGTCTGAAGCCCACCACTAGCTGTGTTGGTTCTCGGACCACTCCTAGGCCTATAAAGGGGGAGGGCAATCTGTGTATAAGAGTTGGCTTCCTGCAACTTAGAGTTGGGGGCAAATCTATAAGAGGATCAAGGTTCCCTGAGGTCCACCTTTACCTTTCAGCTATTCTGCCTGCCACTGAAGTTGCCTGGTCTTCCTCCAAAGCCTTCTGAAGAAAGACTAAAGAGTGGGCCCAGGCTGACCATAACCAATAGACCGTTCCACAGGTTGCAAGCTTGGTAGTGCAGGGCAACTGTGGTTAGGAGGACAAGACTAGTGGGTCCTCTACTTGGGTGTCACTTAGGCACTCAGTGATGGGAAAGTGGCCCTACTCCAGAGTCAAACCACTCATTCCCTACCAGAGTCTCCAACTCTAGTTTCCCCAGCAGGGGCTCACTGCAGGTTCAGGTTGGGTGCAGCAAACTGTCCCCTCTGCAGGAGCCAGCTCAGCCTGACAGAGTCACCAGGCTCAGAGAGACAGGTCAAAAGAGTCCTCATTTTGGGTGATGAAGGTCTAGCCCAGAGAAGAGGACCAAGCACTTTGTCCTGTTCCCAGACAATAGCCTCCGAGGCACTCACACTCTGAATGTCCTGGCTCTGAGCAGCTCCGTGAAACTGAGCTCAACAGGGCAAGGTATCTGGGACTTGGAAGAGCAGATCCAAACAGTCTCTCTTTGTGGGGGGTGCCTACAAGCCTTAGGAGGGGTTCAGGCACTTCTTCCCCTTCCCAAGGTAGCATCTGGGTTTATAGCAGACTCCCTTCTTTCCCACTTGGATTGAATCCCCGCTGATTTTCACCACCAGATGCTATCACCACCAGGGCTCCTCCTCCCATCTCTGTTGATCTGGGTTGGGGATTCCTGCATGGGGTTAAGACCCCACACTCTGAGGGGGAGGGAGTTTAGCAGCTGAGATCCCTCTGGCTTCTCAGGTGGTGCACCTGGGTGCGGGGGTTAACCCTTTCTACATTTCTACCCTTCTTACCAGTCTCTTTGTGGCTTCTTCTGTAAATCCTTGGTTATAATGTTTCAGTTCAGCTAGCTTGCAGTTGGTTATTCAGGTTGATTGCTCTATAATTTAGCTATAAATTCTTGTTTGGGGCTGGGAGCAGATGAGTGTAGCTTCCACCTGCTCTGCAGCCATCTTGGAATGCTGGTTTTCTTTTTAACAAAGAGAACAGAGTCCCAGAGATTTCATTGGCAATAGCATCTTATTTTGTTTTTATTGAATTAATTACATATTTTTATAGCTGGATTCTATTTATGGCAAGTTGTACTGATTTTCTCTTTTCAGTTGTGATATAAAGTTTCTTTAAGTGAATTTATGTAAGTAAGCAAAATCAATATAAAAATTTATAAACAAGACCAGAAATTATGAAAATGTCACCTGCATGAGTGAAAGTTGAGTAGTACTCTATTATATCTTTTATGAGCCTACCAAATTTGACTTTTCTATGCTTATTTCTGCATTTGAAGTAAAGACAAGGGACATGAAGTACTAGAGAGAATAATTTGCACTATAGAAGAAGCCAAGAGGTAGTGTAAAATCTAATTGGACTTAAGCAGTTCTCTAGAGACATTAGTTTTAGATCCAGCATATTGAATGCTAGTCTTTTAAAGCACACTGATCACCTTCAAGCCTCGCCACAGAGGTCGAAACATTTTAGGATGCCCGCTTACACAAGAGAGATTCGTTTTTCAAGAAACTTTAGAGTGATAAGAATAATTTATGGTTCTCCTTCTGTCCCTGAATTTGAGAAGAATCACTGTCTCTAAATATTGATGTGTTCATTTTTCAGCCCAGTAGTATCGCTATCCAGTGTCTCTCAACTCCAAAATTTTCTTTTAACTTCCTGTAGCTTTCATCCCAGGCTTCATACCACCAAGATTCTCCTTGACTGAATCACAGCTCTTATTATTATATATTAACAGATCAACTTTTGTTGAATTTCATTTTCTGTATCCAAGAGAGTAGAACATATATTTCTTGTACTTTCTTTTTCAAATAGTTTTGGTGTTTATAAACATTGCAGTAAACTAAAAATATCAATCTCATTAAAGGAAACTATGTTTTCCTTGCTGGTGGCTAGTGGATAGTCTGATTTAGGCTATTATTTCTGAAAGTGGCAAATAATATTAATTTCACTTATTTTCTGAATTTGCAATAATACAGGTTTTTATTTTTCAATACTTGTATTAAATGTAAGTCAAAGAATACTCATGCCTAGTAATGTGAAATAAAAATGACATTTATATATTAATTACTGTTTACAGAATTGAGTCATGTAATAAAGAGATAGAAAAATATCCTAATTATTAATACCCCTCATTAATATTGTAGAAGAAGAAAATCACATTGCAGAATACATCAGATGGAATAAAACATGCCTTCCAGACAGATAACAGTAAGGTATGCCAGTACCTACTGCACCTCTGCTCTTCCCAGCATAAGTTCCAGCTGCAGATGAGAGCAAGACAGAGCAACCAAGACGCCCAGGATATTGGTAAGGAGATGCAAACTATGACAGAGGACTCCAGGGTATACACGTGGTTTTTTCCACAAATTTTAAAAGAACTTCCATGTTTAGGATAAAAATTACAATATAGATAGATGTTAAATGGCTAAGTTAAGTTTAGAAAGGTGTCAAAATGAAGCTGAGATTTCAACTTAACATTCATTTTGAAAGCAGCACCCTAGATCAGTCAGGGAATACCTGTTGAAATGTCTATTTTTTGCTTATCACTGGGGTTGCTGATGTAAATATTATAAAAGTTTGGATTATATTCTCTATAAATAGTAAACTTAAGCACTATTTGATAAGATAAAATTAATATACATAAAACAATAAATAGTACACAATAGAGGGTCTTGGTTTGAAATACAGATTATATCGCACAAACTATGATCGCTACATGAAGAAGGGGAGATCGGAGACTAGGGTCCTTGAGTGGTGGCACTTAAATTGGAATTCTGAAGGAATAGTTAAGTCGTTTGAACCTAAATGGAGAGGCTTTCCAGATGAGGGAACGAGCATGGGAAACAAGGCAGGGGGCATATGCACCCAGCACAGTGAAGTTACAAACCATAACAGTTTGAGGGTGGCACGTTTCCCAACTGTTATTTTTACTAAGGTGTGTCCCTGTTCTGAGACTGAGATGAATCATCACAGTACCCCAAATAAATGGTCAGGAGGGTGGTTTCAGTTTCTTTTGAAAAGCAACCAGCAGGACAAACTAATTCAGCTCTGAAAAAATATCTGTCAGAACCGAAATACTTAAAGGTTACTTTCAAGACCACATGTAGAAATTAAATTTATACAAAATCTAGTTCTGCATAGTATATTTTTAGAGACTTTAAGTTAAATTCTCTGAAGACTTTGTTTAAAAAATTTAATGGAATAGCACTCATGACCTTGTACAACAGAGCTCTATGAATTCTTTATCCAAACTTTCTCACATCCTGAAATCTTACAGAAAATATATTCCCCGTGGGATCAGAATGGGGTGATGGCAACCTATGAATAGCTGTTTCTCAGCCTTTCAAAATCAAGACGGTAGGGGCTGTATGCTTATTAAAAATGAAGATTTCAGAAACCTACCTGAAACATGGTGAATCCCAATCTTCAGGCTTTGGGTTCCTGGAATCTGTATTTTAACAGGCTTTCCTCAGTAATGATGTTTATGCATGCTAAAATATGATAACTGCTGCTATAATCTTATTCCTTTTCTTTCCCTGCTTTGCTCTGCTAAAAAACTTGTCTGCTCTTATATATTTTCAAAGTATAGTGAAATATCAGACTTATTAGGGCTGTCAGTATTTCCACTTGGACTCATATTCTGTTAAGTACAAACCAGAATTAGACAACTGAAGGTTACATCATTATAGATGTGGTCTAGTGTGCTATAGTAGAAAAGAGTCAGGAGACCAGCTATGAAAGCTAGCCTTCCACCCTCAACATTTCTTATACTGAAGAACAATATAGTGTAGATCTTAATATATTTAAGATCACAAACTATGGAGCCAGATGTCAGAGTTCAAACCTCACTCTATTACTATAAATACTCAGTCTCGGCAGGCTACTTAAACTCTTTGCTTTAGTTCCCCATCTATAAAATGATTATCATAATGGTAATACCTACATCATAAGGTTGTTCTGAAGATGAACATACTATAAAGCACTTTAAAAGTGCCTGGCATAGTGTAACTATTGAATAAATATTTATTATTATCATGCACCACTATTACTAATAGTAGTAGTAGAATATGACTTTTTGGAGTCTCAATTGCTTCATCCATGAAGTGGGATTGCCTTCTGTATCTCACAGGTTTGCCCCCGGGAACACAACAGCTGTGAATCCTCGAACTCATATGTGAAAGCGTTTTAAAATGGTATTATCTACATTTCCCCCTAGATTTTGTTAAACCATCAAAGGAATTGTTTCCAGGTTAGAATTGGCTTAGAAATAACTGCCTGCCCACTTAACTATCTGTACTAGACAAGTGAAGATAACTGATGTTATCTATAGGATGTTGAAGGGCTAACAAATGCATGATACTTCTTTAAAGTTATAGAATATTGGTGAGAAAGAACCTTCGAGGCCAATAATTCTGAAATTTTACTAATAAGGAAACAGGTTCAGAGAAGCTAGCTTTCTCACCTAACCTTAGAGTTAGAGGTCAAACAAGGCTGGAACCCTGATCTCTTAAGTCCTAATCCAATAATCTTTCTATTTTGATGAGTTTCCAAAGAACTAATTTGCATGGAATTAAATTAAGATTAATAATAATTTATTGAGCACTTACTACTTGTAACACGCCATGCTAGGTACTGTGGGATAACAAAAATGGCTGAAGTCCCTCTCCTCAAAAAGCATACAGTTAAGTTGATGTATAAGGAATTACAGAGCAGCAGAAGGGACTAAATAGTAGCACCAAGATTCGGAAGTGTGGAGTGCAGACTGAGTGGGAACTAGCAGGCCTTTGAGTTCAAATTTGAAACATTAGTATTAGGATGTAAGCTCATTCTAATGTTGTATCCCATCCTGGCTATGTTAGAGATTTTTTTCCAGGTGAAAAGCAGTAGAATAGACCAGCTAACTGGATAGTTTATGATTCCATCCCATAAATATATGCACTATTTTAAGTCCTACCCAGGAGTAGTATATGAGTGGATTTGAGTAGCATAATCCTTAATGTTTACAAAACTGAACTGAACTGGCTGTCCCTATTCCTGCCAAAGTTTCATCTACATTTGCCTTAAGGGTGAAGAATCTATTGAATGTAAAGGTATTTCCTGGTAATTGAATCTGTGTAAGACTCAATTTTGTGTCTTTTATTAAAGAAAATAGAAATGCTATCTTCTCTAATAAAAACTCTGTATTTTAGGCTGAAGAACATTCTGGGAATTTTTAAACCAAAGTCTTTTATTATTATTATTATTATCATCATGTTTTAACTTGGTATCCACTTCTACTTCAGAGAAAGAACATTACATTTTTCTGATGACAGTGAGATGTGTTTATTTAAACTTCATCCTGATGCATGACTATTACAAACCTTCAATGTTTTCCTGTCTGTTTACACCTGCAATGAAATATTCATTATTAATCTTCCTAGGAATTAGAAGATAATGAAACAATCTAGAGATCTAAGTCAGCAACAGTTGACATTTTCTTTTTAAAAGGAAGTTTCACAGCTGTTTTACATAGTAGTCAAGCTATATTCTTTAGAGTGCTGCAGAGGGTTGGTACTGTACATGGGGTTGGAAAATGGGGTGTCTTGTGATGTGGATTACTAATGCATGAACAACTGAATCATTAAAAATTCTGTGCTCCTTGTCCTATTTACATGGAAGGACTTTGATACAAAAATTCTGTGATGCAGTGCTTTTGTTAATAGCCTCATATATTCAGATACTTCCATGACATTGGTTCTCCAAAATAGAATAGCCAAGCCCTTGTTATAAGGTCTCTCTCAATTTAGCCTCTAAAAGAAGATTTTGGATATGTATTTAGGAGGGAAAGGAATTTAAGCATGAAGAGAGCCCCAGATCCTTGATCACGTTAATTAACAGAAACCAAGAGAGAGAAGACAAGTAATATTTGATTCTCCCATGACTCCTGTGCCTCATTTAAATCATGAAAAGTCAGCAAGGTTATATGGTGGGAATGACATAGTAATGAAACAACAAAAGAACAAGTTACCATAAAATCCTTTTTTGGGGGGGTAACAATTTTATTGAGATATAATTCACACAATTTACGTACTTAAAGTGGACAAATCAATGGTTTTTAGTATATTTAGGGTTGTACAACCATCACCACAATCTGCCTTAAGCTTTTAAAAATGTAATAATCAAGAACTTTTTCTCTAGGCAAAACTTCTCTGCACAGCTTCTTTTTTAGGCATGATCTCACCACGTTGCCTATCCCGGTTTCACCTCTCTCTCTCCCCATCCTTGGTTTGCTAGTATTTTAGCAGACACACTACTAGGGTTGAAAATTTCACTGTTAAATGTCATTCTCATTTCTAACTGAAACCCGTAATTGGGAATTTGGGGTCAGCAAGCATGAAGCCCAAACATTATTGGATCCAAGGGAATCATTAGATGCTGTAGGAAATGCTGACCAGGTCCTGGATGTGAGAAAGCTACAAGGATGGAGAGACGGTATGAAAACCAAGATCTTCCAACCTCCTTTTTAAAATCCTGGATTGCCACACTTTGAAAGCTTTCTACTTACACTGGCAATCAAGACGATTAAAAACTGCATGCTGTATTTTGTTTATTAAAATAACTCTTCTCATAAAGGTACTGCGGTGTTTCCATCATGTAAAGCCATCCTATTTCCTTGTAGAGAGAGCTTCGTTTAGGAGCCTGAATCTCCAAGCGGAATCCGTTAGAGGATTTACTATGGGACGAGCAGTCAGCACTGGCAGTCTGGCCAGCAGCACCCTGAACAAACTTGCCGTTCGACCTCTGTCAGTTCAAGCTGAGATTCTGAAGAGGCTGTCCTGCTCGGAGCTGTCGCTTTACCAGCCATTGCAAAAAAGTGCAAAGGAGAGGAGTGGCAAAGCTCCATGCGAGGAAAAGCCTAGAGAGATGAGTAAATCGTACCACGATCTCAGTCAGGCTTCTCTCTATCCTCACCGGAAAAGTGTCATTGTTAACATGGAATCCCCATCGCAAACGATTGCGGAGTTGGTAGGAAAACCATTTCACCAGATGGCAAGATCTGATACAGAATCTCTGACAGGAGTCACAAAACTTAATAAGTAAGAACATAATTAACTAACCCAAACTACATATTTGTAAATTCTACATTTCATACATTTGCTTTTGTTTTGACGTTTTATTATTTTCACTTTTTTTTTTTTTTACATTGACACTTCCCCCTCCTACCTTCCTTTTCCCTCTTTAGTTCAAAGTCTGTTGCAAGTTTAAATAGAAGTCCTGAAAGAAGGAAACATGAATCAGACTCCTCATCTTTTGAAGACCCTGGTCAAGCATATGTTATAGGTCAGCATAAACAAGCTTACCTTTTTTTCCCCTGTACCTGGTGCTCATAGTGAAGTGAAAGAGATAATGTAATTTACCAAGAAATTATTTTTCGTCCTATGTCCTAATTGCCAAAACTGTTTGTGAATATAAAATTTTAGGTTACTTAAAATGCACCAAGTCAAATCAAAAAATGATTTAACAAGTGATTGCTTCCTGCACAGATTATTAAGTTTCTCTTTGTGGCAATTAAAAGCCATGATGGTCTTACCAAGATAACCCATGGCTTTGGATATCTTTCTTTTGGGTTTTCCTCATAAGCCTGTGAGAGTAGACTCCACTAATGCTGTATTTTTTCAAGAAAGGTTTATTTAGGGTACTTACAGCTTAGCATGAATGGAATTGTCTCTAAAAACGGATAATTTTATGAATGTGCTGTGGTTGATAGGTAGAAATTCCTAGTTGATTAAAGTTTTTCAAATTCTCCCGCTAGCTGGGGCCTATTAATATAAGTATAGAAGTTGTGTGTTTATAAACACGCACTACCTTATAAGGTAAATAGTTCGGGTTTCCTGTTGCTTCATGCACCTTAAAAGGGACATGCACAGAATCGATCTTTCAGAAGCATAGATATTTAAGCACAGAGGTCTGAAAGATTTCTCAAAATAGGAAACAGCTGGGGAGACCAAAGGCAAACAAGAATAACCCTCTCCTACTGTTGTTCACCAAATAATACTAATTATCTCTCCCTTTGACCAAAGTTTGATCATTTAACTCCAGTTACACAGTTAGAAAGTATTTTCTCATCCTGTAATTGGATTGGGGATATGTGAAGGAGGCGAAGTCAAAAACAAACTCTACACTATAGTTGATAAATACTTGTGGAAAGCAACATTATTTATATAGGCTTCCACAACTTTCAGAGATTATACAATCATTAATATTTGGTGAATTGGTTAAAAAGAACTTGAAACAGATAAAAGGCAAGATTTCATCCTACAGGTCATTTTATGTGTTAAAAATAGATTAAGAAGACACTGATTCAATCTTTTAGAAAACACTTTTCAAAGTACATTCACTATAATAGGATCTCTTATAGAGTCTAAGCTATTTTCATTAGGAAGGCTTTGGTCTACATAAAAATCCATCACATACCAGGTTCTGGTAGAGTAGTAAATATTCCATAGACAAACACAGATAAAATAAAACCCATCCATGAAAGAAAATTTATTTTCTGCATCTTTTTATTAAGATTATTCATTCTTATTGAATATTGGATTTTCTTTTAACATTTGAACATATGTTTTTAAAACTCATTTCAGTTTCATCATTTCATATTTGGCATATCAAAATGTCATTGTCAGAAACAGTGCATTTGTGTTTAAATTTATTCTACAAAACAAGTTGATATGCTTAATTTGAACATTAAAAATAGTAAATAAGCCCATTGTGGACTTATTTTTCTGAGTATAAATAAAAGAAAATGTTGCTACCTTAATGTTTTATTGCTTTTTATGAATTTATCAGAAGAAATTACGTTTATATCTAGTATCTGATCATTTTATAAACTGTCTAATAATTTAATTTATACCACAGGAATGACTTTGCATAGTTCTGGAAATTCTTCATCCCAAGTACCCTTAAAAGAAAATGGTAGGTTTATACAATGTTTTTCCCCTCATTTCCATCGTATCTTTTCTCTTGTACCTTTTGAGCTGGTCTTTGACCTAATAACTAAGTGTCTCCAAATCCATGCCAAGAATTTTAGGCCTTATATTGGAGTCAAAGGAGAATTGTATTTGTAGCATCATAGTAATGTAGCATCATAGTGATGTGATGGGACCTGTAATTTAGGCTAATGTTGATGAACTAGACAAATTACAAATTAAAGATATGGACACTAATTGGGGAGCTAAGATAATTCAGGTGAGAGAGAATTTTGATTTAAAAGAGTTTTAACTGAGGTGGTTATTTTAAAGAGATGCTTGAGCTGAATCTTGAAATAAAAGGATTTGTTCAAGTAGATTGATGTGAATAAGCATTCCAGACATAGGGCATAGTATAGTCAGAGACGTGGAGACATGTGAAAAGGTAACAGATTCAAGGAACTACATGAATCTTAGCATGGAGGCATGTGAGGACAAGTTTGAAGCTCAAGACCTAGATAGAGGCTAGCTTTGAGTCTTATCCTAAGTATTATGGGAAGAATTTGAAGACTTAAAGTGTTGAGATTTATAGTTTATAAGTCTAAGAAGAAAACAAAGTTTATGGGAAGAAACTTTGTGCAGTGCTTCAAACTCAGTGGATTCAGAATTTTTAGACTTAGGTTACAAAATACTTTCATGGGCATTATCTTATTTGATCTTTCTAGCACCTTTCATGGGTAGAAAGAATGTTTTACTGTGCATACACTACTTTCCTCCAAAAATGCTTCAGTCTTACCCTCAAACTCTTGAAGTTGAAATCAGAAATCTGATGAGAAAGAAGCAAATATAGTAATCAGATGTTTTTTGTTGTTTGTTTGTTTTTAAATAAGTTTTCATTGATTTCAGAGAGAGGAAGGGAGAGAGAGACAGAAACATCAGTGATGCGAGAGAGTTATTGATCAACTGCCTCCTGCATTCCCCCCTCCTAGGGTTCGAGCCTGCAACCCAGGCTTGTGCCCTGACCAGGAATCAAACTGTCACCTCCTGGTTCATAAGTCGATGCTTAACCATTGAGCCACGCCAGCCAGGCAGTAATCAGATGTTTTAATATAGTTAATCTTGATGAAGATTTATTTGCCTGAAATCCAACACAAAAATGAAGGCATAAGAGTAAGTTGAACCATATGAAGCTGCTGTTTTTGTAGGTCAAAACTTTCAAACACCAAAGTGCTATTTTCTATAATTCTCATTCTCGAACAGAAATGTGCATACCAGGTCTTTGAGAGAGGGAAATTTTCCTTGGAAGTAAAATTGTGTCATAATATAAAAAACACACAATATATTTTTTATATAATATTTTAAATACTCATCACAAATGTAGGATTTTTTCCATCTTACCTTTTAAAAAATATATCAATGTTGAAAAATCGGAGGGCATTTTATTAAAGAAAAGTTAATGAACTTTTATTAAGTTACTAAGACCCTGGTATATGTCTTTATGATGATCGAGTATCTTACATGGACTGAATTTAGAATACCTCTGTGCCTAAGTAGCTCAATTATTAAAATGACCATAATGGGGGTAATTATTGACTAATAGCTTTTTGAGTGCTTACTGTTTACCAAACACTTTATGTTTAGGTCTCATTTAATCTCTACAACAACCCTATGAGGTGGGTGCTAATATTACTTCCTTTTCACAAATGAGAAACCAAACCATAGAGAGGCTGAATTGCACAGAAGGTCATGGAGCTAGCAAGTGCCCGTGCCATGATTTGAATGGAGGAAGTCTGTTTCCAGAGCCCATGCTCTAATCCACTCTTTAAACTGTTTCCTAGCGTAGTAATGCCTAATTATATTCATAGGTATTATTTCTACCAGCTCAACTTCTTAAAGAAGCTATATAATAATTTATCCAAGAATAAGAACTTAAAGTGTGTTTTAACCTAGCTTCTGATGGAAAAGAATATGAATTTACATTGGATACCACAGGAGCAGCATGTGCAGGGCAGTTTCTCTCTTTAAACCTTTTGAAACTTCATCTTCCCACCTGTCCCCTATGGAAGAAGGGTCAGTCCACCTTCCTATGGATGTGTGCCCCAGTTGCCCTGCAGACAAGTGTGTGATTTCTTCAATTTCTCCTTGAGTCTGCCCAGTTAGCCCTGAAATCAGTGCTCTGTTGAGAATTGAGTTTTCACATAATAAAGCATGGCAAACATGTTTTTCCAAATAAGCTAACTGATGATCAAAAAATTAAGTACTTGCCTATAAGTCAAATATATGACCTCTTATCTAATTTCAATGTTCTCCTTGCTGATCAAGATTATTAGAAGACAATTAGAAATGAGCATCAATTATTATTGAATTACTCATCTCTTAATACAAGGACCAACAAATAAAATTTAATATTAACCTTTTAAGACTTTCTGAGACCCTTTAAGAAGGTGAACCTTGAAAGAAAAGATAAAAGAAAAAAGGCATGAATCATCTAGTCTTATGAAAAAGATATAGAAAGGATTCTAATTTTTTATTGTAATTTCAAAAAATAAATAAGGTTGCTTAACCTTTCAAACAATACACTTCTTACAGTATTTCTTCCTAAGAGAGTAAAAACAAAAATATAGAACTTATGCAAGAATTATGTAAAATTGGTTTTCAATGTTTCTCAATTTATTATAATTCAGGATTATTATACAATTGAAAAGTAACTTTTATCTAGATTCATCACCTTCCTTCCCATCCAAACCACAAAAATGGGGTAAAACACCCTTTAACAAAAACAAAATGCAAAAAACAATGTCATGTGAAATAGGTTGTTCTGGTGCAGAGCAACTTGGTACAGACAGTAAAATAAGCTTTTTTACCCCAATATTAAAACCAATTACTGTATTGTTTTTATGGGCAATCTTAATTTCAAGTAATAAAATGTACAAACAGAAGTAAGATTTTAAAACAAACTTTGTTAATCTTTTAGTTTAACCTAAAAACATGTCCATATATGCACAATCCATGGATACAGACAACAGTGTGGTGAAGGTCTCAGGGAAGGGGTACAGAGGGGAGGGGATCAATGGGGGAAAAGGAGGGGCATTTGTAATACTTTCACCAATAAAGATAAATTTTTTAAAAGTAAAAATAAAACAAACTTTGTTTACTCAGATGTCAAGGACCAATGTAATTTTAAATGCTAGTGGTTTTTCCACCTAAGGTTTAATTAGAATACATGTAAAGTTGAAAATTACAATAAAGATAAAAGTCCAAAATGCTCACAAAGGATTCAACAGATACGAGAATTAACCAAAAGTAAAAAAATGGATTCAACTAAATTGAAGAACAAAAGGAACTTAAAAGTTCATCCAAACCAAATCTTTCTGGATAAATTAAGCAAGTCCTCAAGATGTTATGTGGCCCCAAACACTCAGCTGTTTAGTACTGGCACAGAAATGCAACACCAAAGTTTTCATTATGATCCCCCTTACCTACCAGTGGAGCAGTTATTATATTGGTAGCATAGCGATGAAAAGTACCTCTCTTTGTTTTTATACCTGTCTGGTGCTATTGACCCATCGTCCCAGGGTTTGAAATAGATCTCTTTCCCTAGGATGAATGATGGATTTATCCAGGGTCTTCTCTACCTGTAGTACAGTTAATTTTAAAATCTATGCTATGGAGCTGCCCTGTTGACAAGGGTCTATGTCTATAACCAAGAAATTAGTGTTTCTTGCAGAAAAAAATTGTCGACTCATACTTAGATTGATTATACAGGGTGGGGCAAAAGTAGGTTTACAGTTGTGAGTACACGAAACAAAGTTTATTATTGCATTATTATTTATTAATTATTATATTGCTTTCCATACAACTGTAAACCTACTTTTGCCCCACCTTGTATGGCTCTGGCCTTATTAGAAATAATGATCTTACTGGGAAATTCAGTTAGTTTACTCAGACTTATATCTATCATTAGTATCTACAGTTTATTCTTGTTGGGGACTATAGATGTCCAGGTGAACCTTATGAGAGATGAGAAAGGCAGCATTGGAACAACAGTCTCTAATGCAGAGAGGATGTACATTTTATTTCTAAATTATACATTTATTTTATTAAGATCTTTTCCAGGTAAACATTATTGAGAATGACACTAATGGTTACTGATGTGATAATACAGCATGTATTAGAGTAGTAGAAATTTCAAGTTGAGGCCCCTTTTCACTTTAAAATATTTGCAGCATTTGCTTGGTCATAGAGCACATTCTTTTAAGGATTTAAAGATAAGTACTCCTTGAATATTAATGCTTGTTCCTTATAGTAATTAACTCAGAAATGTCTTGGTACTTGAAATATGTAGCTACCTCACTTTCAGAGATTCATAAATTCTGTACAGTCCTCACTAAAGTCTATAAATACCTTTAAATTTAATTGTCATGTATTAGATACCCTCAGACACTTCCTCCTCCCTCTTTTTTTAAACCAATGGAAGAGTATTTGAACATCTATGTGAATAGAATACAAAGATAAATAAAAACTTGGCGTGTGCACACAACTATAGTGACATGTACTTGCACACCAACAATAGGTTTCCTTCCTTCTGTCCTCACGATAATAAGTTGCTTTATATGGGGGTAGGCAGGCCGGGGAGGGAGAGGACATCACTGTTAAAAAGAGTGGGTGAGCAAAGCTTCCCTTTCCAAAAGAATATTCAGCTCCGCCCTACTCAAGTCTTCTACTCTAGCCAAACTGATCTGTGGCATTTCCCCAGAACTCTTTCTGCCTCCTTTCCATCTCAGCATCTGCTAATGCCATACTTGCTGTATAACCGTCTCCATAATCCACTTACTAAAATCCTGCCCCATTTCCTTAAAGCCTTCTTTATTTCTGGCAGGAAGAAGCCCCTCCTTTCTTATAGGTCTGGCTCATGCCTTTGCTATGCAGCATTTTCACTGACAGCCTTAACAACATTCTCTTTATCAGTCAGGCTAGATCTTTACTCCTTTAGCAAAGATTTGGTCTAATTCAGCTCACATTTACTATGCTAGCGGCTTTCATATACATTATCTCATTTTATGTTCCCTAATTGCCTAGTGAGGGACTTTGACAGGAAAATTGTTCAGTAAACATTTGAAGGATGAAAGACTAATTGAATAAATGAATGCTCAAATCTCACTGGTGAATCCTTGAATATAGAGAGCTTAATCTGTTGCTTTTAGTTAGGAAAGTAAATACACAAAAATACTGCAAATTTAGCAGTGTGGGTGGGTGTGTAATCCAGTAATGTTTACCTAGGAAATATCTTAACATACACATTAGCCTAATAAGTAGTATAAATAACCAGTCTTGTTAGTGCATGTGTTAGAAATGAAAATAAAGAAAACGGCATTTGTATTCTTTGAATCAATCTCTCTGACTTCTAGCAGATACTCCCTAGAGTATCAGTTTCATAAGTGAAGGCAAAAACATTGCATAAAGTCAATGGACTTTGTCTTCACAATGTTGACAGAAGTTTACATTTAAATACCTAATATGACCTTTATTTATTTTATTTTATGGATTTTGTTCTGTATTTTGTTTGATTCTAGCTGAAAATTAGAGGTAATTGTCTATTTTAGGATAAAAGCATCATAGATGCTTAGATAATGATATTAAGCTAAGCATTAGCTAACACATGGAGTTCATACTTATACATATATACCTAATGGATATGTTAAGTCTCTTCACATCATTGTCCAGTGATTTAGGGGAGGGGTTTCAATCAGTTAGGAATACTGAATTAATATACTCTTAGTGATTATAATTAAGTTTATAACTGAGTTTTGGTCAAAAGAGAAACAATAAAATGGGCATGTCTGCTACGGGGAGCTGGCAAACTTGCACTAATACTTGTGTTTAAGGGACAAGGTTAATTTACTTCAGAGAGCAAATGATTGTTTTTATTGTTTTCTGAAATTAAAGGAGTTTATTTGTAGAATATGGAGTATCACATATACATCATTTAAGCATTAATACATGTTATATGATAAAGTTATTGTTTTATAACAATACAGTTTTAAACCCATGGGTAAGTCATATGTTGGCAGGTAATCTCTAACTTTCAAAAACTCCAATATGCTTAAGAACTGTGTAGAGATGAATTGACTTTTAAGAAGTGTATTAATTTGCTAGAGCTGCCATAACAAGGTCCCATAAATTAGGTGGCTTAAACAACAAAGTTATTGTCTCACAGCCCTGGAGGCTAGTAGTCTGAGATCAAGGTAATAACAACATTGATTTCTTCTGAGGCGCGTCTGCTTGGCTTGTAGGTGGCGGTCTTTTCTCTCTGTCTTCACATGATCTTCCTTCTGGGTGTCTGTATTCAAATTCCCTCTTATAAAAATACAAGTCATATTGGATTAGGGCCTGCCCTAAAGACTTTGTTGTAACTTAATTATCTCTTTAAAAACCTATCTCCAAATATGGTTAAATTCTGAAGTTCTGAGAGTTAGGGCTTCAACCATATAAATTGGGGGTGGGCTGGGGAGAAGGGTCACAATTCAGCTCATAACAAAGAGAAAGAAAGAGTTGTGTGTGTATATGTGTTTCAAATGATTGGATTGCAAGTAAATGAAGTAATGTTTGTTATTAAAATGACAATTAAATGGCATTTATTGGTTTAATTTAGGAGATATTTATGAATGATCATCCTATGTAAAAAATAACCCAAGTGGAAATAAAAAGTTAATTATAGTATTTAACTAGTATTTATCAAGCACTGACTTACAACATTTTGTTGGGTAGTGATCCTAGTTGTAATGTTCCTCATCCACAAAGCCATGATTAAAAATCTCTTCACCTACCTCATGAGATTGTTCCACAAATAAAATAAGAAATAAACAACAGTCCTTTGAGAATGTAAATGTGCTAGCCAAGTCATTATTAATGAGATTTTAAAAAATAAATCATTTCTTTCTGTTGCTATTTTAACTCTAGAACTTACCATGAATATTTTACTCATTATAAATAAAAATGTCAACCACTTAGTAGGAAATTCTTAACATATTGAGCATTGTCAAATTCAGGAAGTCAACGGTGAAGCAACAGAAAGACATGGAGTCAGAAAACCTAAGTTTAAGATTCAGCTCTTCCCAGTGCTAGCTGAGTAAACCTGTTCAAATGATTTAACTTCTTGAAATTTAAGTACTAATTTCTAACTGAAATACACTTATTTCACAGAGAATCATTTATAAGGAATAAATGTGATAATATACAGTCATTTTGTAAACTGTAAATCACTATCAAAACATACAGTGATGGCATTGTATTATTTAAAATATAATTTTATAGTGACCAAGCAGTCTATTAATAAGCTTTGTTAACATTTAAATTAAAACAAGTAGATAGTCTTAATGTCTCAGTATGTTATGTATATCTTAAAATTATACGTTTTCAATAGATGTACTACACAAAAGATGGAGCATAGTGTCTTCACCAGAAAGGGAGATCACCTTGGTGAACCTGAAAAAAGACGCAAAGTATGGCTTAGGTAAGTCACTGTGAGATTCTTAAAGTCTATAGCATAGCATTGGCATTGAGGCACAACCTACTTCTCTGATGAGGACACTGGCTGCCCACCCACAGCCCTCATCCTACCCATCCAGTCAGGGAATGCCAAAGATGAAATGCTTATAAGCAATACTTCCACCAAGTTTAACAGTCCCATCTCACAGGTGTTACCTATTAATCATATGACAGTCTCCACACTTCTATGTGTCAGCAGGCTAATCATTAGTCATTGAAAGTACCAGTATAATGAAGATCTTTTTAAAATGTGCTATTTCACAGGATTTCAAATTATTGGTGGGGAGAAGATGGGAAGACTGGACCTGGGTGTATTTATTAGTTCAATTACTCCTGGAGGACCAGCTGACTTGGATGGATGCTTAAAGCCAGGTACTTTGCGTTTACTGATTGGCACGAATTTGCACAGATGTCAAAAGTGGAACTTGGGCAAAACAAAAATATGGGAGGGATGACATTTCTGCTATTTAGCATAAATTTATCTTTGTCATTGAAACTCCTGGATTGTCTGGTTTTTACAGGAGACCGTTTGATATCTGTAAACAGTGTGAGCTTAGAAGGGGTCAGCCACCATGCTGCAATTGAAATTTTGCAAAATGCACCAGAAGATGTGACACTTGTTATCTCTCAGCCAAAAGAAAAGATATCCAAAGGTAGTACAAATGTCTCTTAGCTGTTCTGTTTCATTTTTACATGAACTTCAATACCTTGGCCTAATAAATCAGATTTAAGCTCCTTATTTCCTTTCTGGAAATTTTAAATGTGTAGTTCTGATTGTTTTGATTTTATGAATCAGTATAACTTTTTTATTTTTTACTTTGAAGGTTTTCTATCTTGTTCCTCTTAAGCAATACAGTTGACCCTTGAACAACCTGGGTTTAGGGGTGCTGACCACCCACACAGTTTAAAATCCTTGTCTAACTTTTGACTCTCGAAAAACTTAAGTTGTCTCCCCATAGGGGATTGGTTCCAGAGCCCCTCCATGTAGACCAAAATTTGTGTATGCTAAATCCCCTTTATAATATTGCATAGATCAATGCATACACTCAGCCCTCCACATCTACAGAGTCCCAACCATGGATCAAAAATAGTATATACAGGTGTTTATTGGGGGGTGGGGATTGTGTATAAGTGAACCCATGCAGTTCAGACCTGTGTTGTTCAAGGGTCTAATGTATCTGAATAAAAATGGACTTGTTGTGCAAAATTGATGTCACATAATTTCTTCTGAGTACCTGGTGTTTTGTATCACTTAGGCCATATGAGAAATGAAATTCTTTGTCATTACCTATATAATATAAAACACAAAAGATAGAAATATAGTATCTATGAAGTACTATTCTGAATCAGATTATAAAAAGGAAAAAATAGCAACATAATAGAAATTTAAAAACAAGACCATATCATTTTGTCTCAATCCTGTCATTAGCATGTTGTGGGAGAAAACCCACTTGACAAAGATCAGATGACTTAAGCTTGAACTGTGCCTGAGCCACTTACCAGGGTCAGATTTCATCTCCACCGCTTAACACTGTGTGCCTTGAGAAAATGCTTGAACTTGCTAAGCCTCACTCTGTTCGTTTTGCAAATGGTGAATATAAAAGTGCTTATCTTGTAGATTGTGAAAAGTAAGTAAGATAATGCATGTGAAGAATTAGCACATCACTGGATATATACTAAGCACTTAAATGTAAGTTTTAGTTGTCATTATTAACAGTATTTATCAAAAACAATGTGCTAGGTACATGTAAATTGCTTTCATCCCAAAGGTACTGGGAAATATATAAAATAGTAACATATTAGCTGAAAATCAAGTTTAGATACAGATGACTGGTTTCTTCTCTTATTCACTTAATAATCTATGTATGTTGTGTGTATATATATATAATACATACACATATAAGTAATATTTTCAGCACTTGTTTACTGGGAATAAACACAACAGATAAAAAAACACCACCACTGCCCAAAAGAGCCTTATAACCTAAATGTAGTCCAGTCACCTTAGGCAAAGGAAGGTGATTGCAGTTGAAAATGTTGTAGCATGCCTCTAAGTTTCAAGCAACCAAGACCCCCAAAAAAGCAGAACATTAGGTTCCATTACTCACCATTATTTTGACAAAAGAAACATAAATTCAGAAGAAACTCATTTTCTCCCTGAATAAAGCTCTAAGACTCTCATCTTAATTTTGTTTTCGATAGATGTTTTATAGAAAATGTATTCAGCCTGGCCGGTGTGGCTCAGTGGTTGAGCATCAACCCATGAACCAGGAGATTAAGGTTTGATTCTTGGTCAGGGCACATGCCCGCTTTCAGGCGCAATCCCCAGTAGGGGGCACACAGGAGGCAGCCGATTAATGATTCTCTCTCATTGATGTTTCTCTCTCTCCGCCTCCCTTTCTCTCTCTGAAATCAATAAAAATGTATTTTTTTTTACAATAAAATGTATTCATTTGTTCAACAAATATTTATTGAGTGCCTGTGATGTACAAGACGCAGAACCTCTACCCTCATGGAACTTACACTTTATCAGGGAACACAGTTGTTGATCAGCTGTAACTATGATAATGTTAGGAAGAAGTCTGAGGTTCCAAGAGAGCATTTAACAGAGGAACCTAGTATGGAATCAGTAAAGCTTTCTTCTCAGCAGACTTTCATGTTATTATTTTATCTTTTACTATCGATTCTCAATAAATGTTAAAAGAGTAAGTATAGTTCTGTGAAATTATTTCTTCAGAAAGCCAGATTAATCTTATTACAGTGTGTAGCTATACTGTAGTCTAACTTGAAAAGAGCTAAAACTCAAAAAACATAGATCATTACCAGTACGTACCTCAGGCTATCCTTCCCAATTATCAATTACCAAAGAAGAGGTTTGTATTTTTTGTCTGCTTGCTAATTTTTTTTAGCTATAGAATGTGTACTAGTTTATGTAAATGAATCCAATATATACAGAAACCTATGAAGTAAAAACTAAAAGTCCTCTTACCCTTTTTCCTAGGGAAACTATTTGGTATGTATATAGCCTTGTATAGATTATAGATACAGTATATATTTTTTAAAATAGTACATACACATACTTACATGCTTACACACTTTTTTTTACAAAAATATAATTTTTTATACTCTGAGAATCAGTCTGTAACTTGTTCTGAATACATACCCTTTTAATGTGGCATTTTATGTTAGTGGGCATATCAAAATTGATTTAATTTTTTCTTTTGTTGTGCATCCAGGTTAGCTAGAATTCTATTACATATGTTGCTGCAACAAATACACTCGTTTACATGCCACTTCAGATCTATGTATTTCTAGAGATTAGATACCTAGAGGTAGATTAAGGAATATGCACATTTAAATTTTTGACAAATGTTACCAGTTTGTACGAGTTTTATCATCAACCATGTAGATATGAAAGTGCTCTTCACACCATCAGTGGCATGAGAAATTGTTGTTCTCGTTTTTGTCAGGAAGATAGGTAGAAAAACATTAAATTGCATATCCCTAATCAACAATGAGAATGTCTTTTCATATAGTTATTAGTTATGAGGATTTTACCACTGATTTCCAATCTGCATATCATACCCTTGTTCCACAGGAGTTCTAAACTTTTTATTTAAAAAAAGTGTTGTTTTTTAAATTCTCACCGAAGATATGTTGTGGTAGGTTTTTTTTTATTGATTTTAGCGAGAGGAAGGGCAAGGAGGAGAGAGTGATTTAAAAAACATTGATTGGTTGCCTCCCATATGCTCCCTGACGGGGGATCAGACCCACAACCTGTGTATAAGTGCTGACCTAGAATTTAACCCGTGACCCTTCGGTGCATGGACAACACTCCTACCAACTGAGCCACACGGGCCAGGGCTAAACATTTTCTTACTGACTTTTAGAAACTCTTTGTATATTAATGGTATTAACTGTTTGATTATTTTTTGTTATTGTTCCAAATATTTTCTCTCCAGCTGCTCATTACTCTTCAGTTTTCCTTGGCTTTGCTTGCTACATAAAACTTCTAGTGTCTTATAAATTTGCATCTGCAATTCCTTGGCAAATGTCTCATGTGGTTTGTGTCTTACTTAGGAAAGCTTTCTTAAGTAAGCTTTTGATAAGGACTATATATAAAACTTTCGGAGTTGCCTTTCTTGGTAATTACTTGGAGTAACTGGTAGGACAGTATAAAGCAAGTGTATGAATAACTAAGAACAAGGATTGTTGGAGACCCAAACTAGCTCTAGTTAGGGAATCAAAAAAGTCGTCACAGAGGAGACTCACTGGAAACAGGTCTTACAGAATGGACATGGGGAGCTAAGGTGAAAGGGTACACATTTCCATAGACGTTGCCTCAAGAATGACAGAGAGTGGAGCAAAGGAAACAGAACGTATTTACATTTGTTGGGTTCTTGTCATGGTTCCAGGCCCCCCGGGTCAGCTGTGGTGTACGTGTTATCCTGTGTGAAACCCTCCCAGCAGTCATCAGGGAACATCGTGCATGTGTGTAGGCCCAGGCATGTGTGTCACTAACCTGTTATTTTCACTGCTGGATTTTGACTTTTAGTGCCTTCTACTCCTGTGCACGTTGCCAATGGCATGAAAAATTACATGAAGAAACCTTCCTACATGCAAGGCAGTGCTATAGATTCCTCTGAGGATCACCGCTGGCCACGTGGTACCCTGAGGCATATCTCAGAGAGCTCGTTTGGGCTGCCTGGGGGGCTGCGGGAAGGAAGCCTGAGTTCTCAAGATTCCAGGACTGAGAGTGCCAGTTTGTCCCAGAGCCAGGTCAACGGTTTCTTTGCCAGCCATGTAGGTGACCGAACCTGGCAGGAATCACAGCATGGCAGCCCTTCCCCATCTGTGATATCCAAAGCCACTGAGAAGAAGAGGACTTCTACTGACAGTAACCAAAGCAAAGCTAAAAAACCAGGCATTTCTGATACAACAGATTACTCCGACCGTGGAGACTCGGACATGGATGAAGCCACTTACTCCAGCAGTCAGGATCATCAGACGCCAAAAAAGGCATGGTTTCATTTTAGTCTTTGTTGTTTTTTTAATTTAACAACGCAAACAACAGCAAATATATTATAGAGCAGAATAATCTGTGAACTACTTGCATTATTCCGGAAAGGAGGAATAATTTAAATATTATGCTACTAACTGCTACTGCATTTGATGCTTTCAGAGAAATAAGCAGCTTTAAATACTAACTCTAAAATGGCTATTATTCTGGGAACTTGTTACCTGATGACACAAAGGAATTAATAATCAGATTATGATTGTTCTCTATAAATTGTTCACCTCTTGCATACCTCATGTTATAAGAGAATTTAATATCTGAAAAATATTGTTCCTAAATAGTTCATGGAATGACATTTGACTTATTGATAACCAAATTCTTGTGAAGTTCTGGGTATACAACAATAAGAACAACAACAATATAGGAAATTGCTCATTTCCTAGAAATGATATAAAGTTAAGCTCACATTCACAAGCAAATTCAGGAAAGAACCTTAAGCCCTTTTTTTACTAAAAAGCCAACATTCCTCTTAGAGGGTATGCCCTTATAAAAGGGGCTCAGCTGTTGTGCCTGTGTTTGTATTGGGTTTGTAAACATAAGCAGAGTAAAGATGAAGCTTACTCATCTTAATAACTTCTAAGTTAAAAGCTACTGCTTAATATATGTTGATTTTCCTTTTTTAAGGAAATGGGCATACTTTCTAAATTTGGGAGTCTAAAAAGCATTGAACAAGGATGATGTAAAAGCCAGGTCTGAAGTGGGTGCAGGGCTTCCCTCTACCATATCTAGCTGTTTGGCCCGAAGCAAGCCCTTTAATCTCTAGACCTCAATTTCCTCAACCATAAAATATGAAAGCACTGGATTAGATGATCTCAAAGATCTCTTCCAACCCTCATGATATTTGAATCCACTCTATCCCTTAATATCTTGCTTTTTCTTAGTTTTTCTAAAAAATTCATATTGCATCGTCCAGTAGTAATTCATTTTGAGTCTAACAAGAAATCCTTTTGTTTGTTTTTCTTTGTTAAGGAATCTTCCTCCTCAGTGAATACATCCAACAAAATGAATTTTAAAACTTTTCCTTCATCACTTCCTAAACCTGGAGATATCTTTGAGGTTGAACTGGCTAAAAATGATAACAGCTTGGGGATAAGTGTCACGGTACTGTTTGACAAGGTTTTCAAATGTTTTCTCTTCTCCATTTCCAGCAGCCTATTGTATTCCAGTTTATTAACTGAATTATTTTGCTTCAAAAAGGGAACTTGTCAAATACTTTCAAAATTAAAAATTGGACCAAATACTTCCAAACTTGAAAATTGGACCATATCTTAAAACTTTTTTAAAAACTTGAGTGTACTAGTCATTTTTTCCTGTGGTTTAAAAGAAATTAGACAAATGATACATTTTCCCCATAAATTTCATATTTGCTTAATCTGACATAAGACCTGAAAAATATAAAATTAATGAGTATGCTTTGTACACATTTGATAGCTTCTGCATGAGCATGGAATAATACATTTTAACCTACATCATAAATAATTTAAGTCTAATGTATATTCCCTTTCTCTCCATAATGTATCTTAACTTATAAACATGATTAGTATTTTAAAATTACAGGTTCCCAAGGAATATATGTTCTTTTAAGGTAGTTAACATATGAGCATAGGCTACTTGCTAAAATTACTTTAGAGTTCTATTCATGAATATACTTTACCCTAAATGATAACATTATCATTTATGATATTTGAAGGATATTAGTTATGAAAAGTGGTTTAGAAATATAGAAATAGCACTATTAACATATCAATATCAAAAAGACCTAGTTTTATAGCACTTTTAAAAATTGATAACTCTTTTCCTTTTGCCTTTAACTTTAGAATTTTATCTTCCTATTGTAAAGGGAAATAAAAGCTGTATACCCATATGAGATGGATAATCTACTCATTACCTCTCATCTCCACTATAACCAAACTTCTCTTTCAAAACGAAAAAAAGAAAATTTTCCTTGACTTATGAGATTTGCTTTCAGAATAGCAAATATGATCAGAAGTATATTATTCCATCTGCTTTTTTTTTTCTGACAGTTAAATTCTCACACTAATTTTATATAGGTGGATTTTGTTTTCTGCTTGCTCATAATGCATGGTGCAGACTTACAAAGGAAGAGTAATTCTTCATATAGTCAAGGTCTGGCATGTTGTTATTTTCTGAATAAAGAGTTTTCCTGCAAAGTAATTGCTTTAACATTTGGAAAACAGCTAGAAATATTCTTGGGTATTGAAGTAATTGCATGTGCTGACATGCTGCGGGTGCTTTGGCTGATTAATTGAATGCTTTCTGGATCTCAGGTTTGACAAATGGGGTGGGAACTGTTTTGTATTACAAAACATTATTTTATTTGTCTTTTTCCACTTAGGGAGGTGTGAATACCAGTGTCAGGCATGGCGGCATTTACGTGAAAGCTGTTCTTCCCAAGGGAGCAGCCGAGCTGGATGGTAGAATTCACAAAGGTAGGGTATTGGGGGGAGGGGATTATATAGAGGATTATCACTTCAACAAATAAATAAGAAATTAGAAAGTTGATGTAAACCTTCAAAGTATTCATAACATAAAATAAGAGCGTACACCATTATTTTAAGATTTCAGCATTAAAACACTCCTTGATATCATTCCAAAAACTCTTTTTTTCCAGCTTATTCTCTAATATGAAAAAAATATCTTGACAGTGTTTTAATTCATGTTTTGACACAAAATATCTTGACAGTGTTTAATTCACTTCCTAAGAAGCAAATTACCAGAGAATAGGAACAGGGTAGTACCCTTGTAAAAACACTGACATCTACATTTCTAATAAAAACTAACTAGGTTAGTTCCCTCCAGTTGCTCTACATTTGTAGTTCAATTTATCTTATACCATGATTTAAATCTGTTTTACAATATAAACAATATCCTGTTCTAAAATGTACCTAAGATTAGCCATAGAATTGGGAAAGAAATTAAATACACATTAAAGAAACTGACAGTTTCATCCAGAATTTGTCTGAGTCTCTCCTCAACAAATTAATACAAAACAAGACCCCAAGCTATTACAGAGCATGAATATATTTTATGATTTGCTTTTTTCAAAATGACTGCCTAATTTATAGGTGATCGTGTCCTAGCTGTCAATGGAGTTAGTCTGGAAGGAGCTACCCATAAGCAAGCTGTGGAAACACTGAGAAATACAGGACAGGTAATAGATCGTTATGCCAAATTTTTAAGATAACCTTAGAAGAACATACTAATGTGTGAATAATACCAATTTCATTGAGATCTCCAAATTTGTTAGTCAAGAATCCAAGCCTGATTTATATAAACATCCTAGTATTTTTTTCTTCCAAATTAAGAAGGAAGTATTATGACAAGAAGTTGTTTTGTTTTTACTGAGGAAACTGGCTTTCTGTATCACATTTAGCCCTAGTATTACCAGAGATCTGACAAGAAGAATGGTGGAGATTGCATTTTTAAATTTTTTCATCGGCATCTACAAATATCTAGTGATTTTCACTTCTAGACTTGCTTTATCTTAAAGGATACAGTGGTTAGAGCATCAGCCAGTAGACTGAAGGGTCCCTGGTTCAATTCTGGCCAAGAGTACTTCCTTGGTTGCAGGCTGGATCCCCAGCCCTGGTCCGGGCACATGCAGGAGGCAGCCAATTGATTTGTCTCCCTCACATCGATGTTTTCCTCCCTCTCCCCCTCCCCC